TGTAAGATTCAGACATCTACAAAACGGGAGAAAATTCAAGTTAAGTTGATTAGAATTCTTGATGCAACACCCAAATGAAACATCAAGCTAGGATCCAACACAATACTCTACAACCTAGAAGAGGGATGCCGTAATCTAGTTGCAGAATATTGAAGGTAGGTAAATGACGATTTACCAATTTCCACCATGAAAAACGAAAAAGAAGTTTAAGTTTTAAATGAATTGAAACTCCTAGATCTTTTGAGATTCATTGAACTTTTCAATGGCATGTTTAATCTCGATTATGCCCTACTATTTGTGACTGGGATGCCGAGGATCACAAACAAGGTGTAAATAACCATACGAATCACGTGGTGCACCCAATGTTACTATCACCTAATCAATGTGCCGGTTAGCCACACACGCTCCATTGATCTATGACAAACATCGAGTCACCCTTCGCTACCAATGTCATCCCCAAATTAGTGTGCCGGTTAACCACACACGCTCCACTAACGTTTGACAAGGGTACGAAGTGTAATTCCATGGGTTAGCATACAATTTCACATTTTGCCTAAAGTAACTATGATTTGGGAATTTGAAAAAGCATTTAGTTACTTTGTACTTCATTATACTTATAATGGAAGGTTTCTGTCCTATCCTACCCGTTCGGCTAACGACCCTCCACTAGTCAAGAGTGCGGTGGGTAAGAGTGGATACCCATTCAATCGCCATTTTATAGGCAATTTCCTTAAACACCCCTTATAGACTAGTTTCGTGAATGAGGCCTACTAACGGTAAGACTGACTTTTTAGTTATACATATATAATATTAAACTTTTAATGTTATATATAGTATAAGGGTGTATTTTACACTTTTAAAATACTAGGTGGTTTAAATTATACTTTTAACTAACCAAAATCATTATGGATTTATTAAATCTCTTTTAATTATACACTTAATTAATTTAATAAAACCATAAGGGTTTAATTTGAACTTTTCAAAATCAGGGTTTTGGAATTTAGACTTTCAAAATTAACTTTTAATCAACAATTTAAATTCCAAAACTTGAGGGCAAGTTTTGAAACTCTTCAAAACAATTAGGTTTTAATCTCACTTAAAATTTTCGAATTTAAGACATTTAAATTAAAATTTTAAATATTAAAACTCTTGATTTAATAATTACCATAAATTAAACAATTAATTTAAATTATTAAATCACAAGGGATTATCTAGATCATGAGGATAATTACCAATTATACATCTAAGATATCCTAATCCCTTGAATCCCTCTCTAAATCTCGAAAATAAGGGATGGGATAATTCAAGATCTTTAATTACCATATTTAACAATTAAAAGATAATTACAAGATATGGGATTATCCAAATCCCTAAAATTTAGGATCTAACCTTGGGAAGGAGGTAATTTCGAAATCCAAGGGTTGGATAACCCTAGATTTCAAAATCTTGGAGGCTAAGGAAAGGATTTGGGAAACCCTAGCAAAAATCGCCATCTAGGGTTTTGCAACCCTAATTGCGAAAATTACCTAGCCTTTAGGGTTTATTAGCCATAAACCCTAATATGTCAAGTTCACAAATTTGAATAAAAGCTAATTGAAAACAAAAACCAATGGCTCTGATACCACTGATGGGTTTATACAAACAATCCTATGTGTGCATGCAACCCTAGTATTGGATCTATGTTTTCACTATTAGTTATACAACTTTATGAACACAAAAAGAAACCTGGCATGCTACTATAATTTTCGAAATTCATATATAAAGCTAGAATACATACCTTTTGTTGTTATATAGCAATAACAACTAGTTCCTTGAATTTCCTTAGCTCTTGAAAGCAAGTACCACAAGTGTAGTACCTCTAATGGAGTCACAAACACCATATGCAACTTGGATGAAGAGGAGAAGAAAAGGAGGCACCAAAAACGGCTGGAAACCCTAATGGAAGTGTTGTGTACGTTTTTGGGGCCTAAGGGGTCCTTTATATACTAGTGTGGGCTTCTAGGGTTTCAGTCAAAACCCTAATGGACAGCTTAAACTCTAAGCAGCCCATGGAACCTTCTGGACAAGGCTATGGATGAAAATATGATGGGCTTCCATCATAATTTCGTTCACCCCTTACTCCTTTAGCATTCCTTAGCCCAATAACTCAATTATCCAATAATTGCAATCCAGTCCCCTAAGTTTAATTAATCTCTTTTAGCCACAAAATTAATTAACAATTAATTCTTGACTAATATTAATTAAACAATATGATTTCTCCTTTAATATATTATTCTCATAATATATTAATAAATCATATTTAAACCTTTCTCTCCTTAAATCATCCTACATATTGCTATGGTGAAGGCAACCCAAAAGGACCATGCTCATAATCGGGTCAAGTACATACCAAAATAGTTATGGACTTAGACACTAATCCAACAATGATAACATGGAAAAAGCACATAGCACATATAACAAATAACATACAATTGTTCATATATATTGAATTCACCTTGAAATAACCGGGAGTTAAAATACTAATTTGTGCAGTACTCCGTTACTATAAATAGCTTTCTTCTATAAAAACCAGGAGCTTTCTTGAAAACCAGGAATTAAAATAGTAATTTGTGCAGCACTTCGTTAATAGTAAATAATTATTTAATCCATAATGATTTAATGAATTTAATTATTTGTTTAATTAAAAGATAAATCATAACTGTTTTAATATTAATTAAAAGATTTAAATTTAAATAATTAATATTTAAATCTCATATTTTGAAAAGTTTTAAAATACACCTTATGTGTGTGTGTGCGCGTGTGTGTGTGTGTGTGTATATATATATATTATATATATATATATAGAGAGAGAGAGAGTGTGAGTGAGTAAGTAAGAGAGAGGTTTAGTACAGAACCATAATTAACAAGGAACCAATCGTGAGCGGCGGAAATCATAATGATCAACGGCCAATGAAATAAATGTAGACTTGTACATTAGACATACACACACCGAATTATACAAAAAAAATCAACCTCCTTACCAAAAAAAATCCACTTTTTTTTCGTTTAAATTCGTGTTCGTTATTATGTGGGTAGGTGTAAATTTTCTGGTGAAGAGATTTTCTGGGATCCATTCATTATCTTAAAGATTTTCTGAGTTTCAATTTCTGCAATTTGTGTTCAATGTCAGCAATTCGTGTTTATTAATGAGGAATTAAGAGTTTTCTTTATGCATATTAGTGATGAAGAACATAGTGTTGAATTCTATAAACATTTGAATCACCCACTTCATGATGCATATTCTAAAAACCCATGAGCTTTTATGCGTTTTTATCAGGTGGAATCCCTAACTGTGGAGTTGATTAGTGTTAAACTGAGTTAAGTTTCTATAGGATTAAATCGATGAATGCAAAATCGATGGATTGGAGCTTTTAAAGTAAGTTTTTATTGGTTTTTTGGCAGCTCGATTCATTTGATGGAAACGACGTCCCTGGAACATTTAGAGATTGATTTTGAATATGTAATGGTAGGTGTTTTTTATCCAATTATAGATTAAAGGTGACAGTCCCCGTTGGGTCTTTTTTTTATTTTGTTTGGGTTTTCCGACGAAGAAATGGGGAAGGATGAATAGTAGGCTGCAATGAAGCTTACAATCAATCTTCAAGTGGATTCATGTTTTGTTGTGGGTTTTAAAGAAAATGAAGAGAGAGAGAGGTTTTAAAGAAAAGGAAGAAGAAGAAGGGAAGAGAGAGAGAAAAAAAAAAAAAAAAAAAGGGGGGGGGGGGGGGGGGGGGAGGGTATGGTGTAGTGTATATTTTTTTAGTTTCTTTTTTCATTTTGTAATTATAAAAAGTAAAAATCTTTTTAATTTTGTAGTTATAAAAACATTATAAATGGTAAAAATCTTGTGTGAACTTTTTTCCTTTTTCTACTTTGTTTGTGATTTTGTTTGTGATTGACATCTTAATGTAAAAAACAAATAAAAATTACATCATTTTAGATTTTCCAAGAACCAAAATCAAAAGAATCTTTCAATTTGTGGACCAAAAAAGAAAAAAAAAAATTTTAAACATTTCGTTCATGTCGAAAACTTGTATTCGAAGTTTTTTGCAACACTCGAACCAAATTTACAATTTTGTCCAAAAAAAGAAAAAGATAAAACTAGCCTACTTTGAGTTTTGTCCAAAAAAATAAGATAAAACTATACTTTTTTCAAACAAACCTACTTTTAAAAACTAATTTAAAAAGCAATCTATTTTTTATTATAATTAAAAATAATAATAATAATTATTAAAAAAAAAAAAAAAAAAAAAAAAAAAAAAAAAAAAAACCCTCAACCCATGGCTATTTTGAAAATCGCAATTTTATTAAGTAGCTAGAAGTCGGGTTATTTTCTAATATCTATTAAAAGGAACTTTGTTATCAGTCGATGTCTTAAAAAATTATAATAATTGTAATATAAAATGATGTCATCTTATTTTAGATGTTTGTTTGTTGGGAGTAATAGAAAACGAGATAAAACAAAAGGTAGTAGTGTATATATGAAGAGCTTTAGACTTGAGCTATGGTAGACAGCGTCAAGTCATTGAAGAAGGGTAGCAATACTATCTTCTAAAAGTTGGAAGGAAGCAGTTTTGATTGGCAGAACAGTATAATGAACCTAATTACATAATCGATATTACAGAAAAAAACGTACCAATTAACGACCAAATGAAAACATGTCCAATAGATTAGATATTTTAGTTTATCTCTACTTGATTGTCCAAATGAAAACATATCCATGGTTCTTTAAATTCCTACTTTAATGTACTAACGCACACAAGCTCGACACAAATTCTGATTTTTAATTATCATGCAGTACGATTTACTAATGGACTCGAAGAGAGCCAGAGAGCGCAATATGCCAATATCCATTCAAGTGCTACATTTTATTCCACATCAATATATACACGATCATATCATTTATAAAAAAACATTACACCGACTACACATATTTATATATTCAAGACTTCGAAAAGAGTGCTTCACAAAAGTTGCTTCCCCCCTTGTAGATAGCCGCTATATAGCCTTTAAGCATTCACAATCATCCCACCTACAAAATGAAGAAAAATTACAACTTACAACAAACAACGCACACATACCCCAAAAAGATGGTAAAAAGTGACCGGAAAATGTACCGTTAGGGTGGAGGACTTGGCCGGTAAAGTAGGAAGAGTCCTCCGACGCCAGAAACACAAACGAGGGTGCAATCTCGTAAGGCTGACCGGCTCTACCCATCGGACACTCCGACCCGAACTTGGAGGTCTTCTCTTCGTGAAACGATGCAGGGATTAGTGGGGTCCACACAGGTCCTGGTGCCACTCCGTTGACTCGAATATTTTTGGGTGCTAGTTGCAGTGCTAGACCTCTAATAAACGACACAATCGCTCCCTTTGTTGATGTGTAATCAAGCAATGAAGCATTGCCTTTGTAGGCGTTGACTGATGTTGTGTTGATGATGCTGCTTCCTTCATTCATGTGCTTCAATGCATGCCTGTGCATGTACACGTACGAACCTAATAATTAACTAGAGTTGTAATCGATCTCTTCCATATAAGAATATTGTTGATATTTTACCTTGTTACGAAGAAGTAGGAGTAGATATTGGTTCTAAAGACTCTATCAAGCCAATTCTCGTCGATTTCTTCAACGGATTTACACATGTACTGCTCGGCGGCGTTGTTCACCAAGATGTCAATACGACCATATTTTCCGACGACTTCATCCACCACCGCTTTGCAGTGGGCGTCGTACCCTAAATCGGTAGGTATGGCAATCGGTTCCTGTGAATCTTTGGTTTTGGAATCGTTAATGATCTTTAAGGTGTCTGCTGCATCTTTGTCTTCTTGACCTTTCACGTAAGTGAAGGCAATAGTTGCTCCTTCTCTCGCAAAACAATAACAAACAGCCCTTCCAATGCCGGAATCTCCACCAGTAACCAGCGCCACCTTACCCTGCATGATGACACATGATCAAAGAACAGCTATCGATGCAATCTCAAACATGAAAATATAATGGAAGAGCACAAGGATATTACTTTGAGCTTATCAGCAGGTCTGTAATTAGGGTTAATGAACTGTGGGATAGGATCCATGACATGTTCTTTCCCTGGTTGCGTATCCTGTTTCTGTCGTGGGAAGTTCTTACCGTCGGTCGCCATTGTTGCTGCAAAAGTTTCTGATTCAAGTTAAGAGATGAAATGAGTTCAATTGGAGATGAAAATGATGGATTCGAGCTGTATATATATGATGGGAGTGCATGGTATGTAGAGGGTGATAAGTGATGACAAGTAAGATGTGGTGGTATACACGTGGCGGGTGTAGAGTTGAAGTTGCAGGATGTATAAACGAGTTACACCGATTACAAGTTGTATAGGTGTCACTCTCATGTTCTACGTGTCAGAAGAGTATGCATTGGTGCTGACTGCCAACTATTCCATTCTCACTGGATATTGATGGTTTTATATAACAAAGACAAAATAACATAAATGGTACCTCTATTTGGTAAACCTGTAAAATTTGATCTATATAAGCAATTTTTTTATAACGATGATCCATAAGTTTGAAATTGCATGTACAAATGGTCTTTTAAGCCATTCGTCATCTCAATTCCATAATATTGATGTATCCCAACTTAATTCCACATTACCAACATTTTGGAACCATTTATCAAAATGTAACAGATTCATGAATAAAAACATATCCAATGTGAAATTAGATTCAAATCAAAGCACGTAATACTTCAAAAAAATCATTACAAAATCTAAACGTTATACAAACCAAGCACATCTCCAAGAACATATATAAGGTACCCTATTTTTTGCATATACACATACATCATCAACTCAATCTTGATAAACCTTCACAATGGGAAGAATAGTTCTTCCTTAGGATACCGGAAAAACCCTAAATAATTCGATTTTTTTTTTTCATAATAATCTTCCCCACCACCACCCATCCCCGCGTAGTAGGCATCTATAATATTGGTATATTAGTCATTTTAGAGAAACGGTATGTATTTAATGGTGCTTAACAAACTGAGTGACTCATAAAAGAGTGTTTATGAATTTTAAACTTAGAGACCATCTTTAGAAAAAAAATTCACCATAAAAACCATATCTGATAAGATTTACCACATACCATTTATACCATTTATGTAATTTTGTCTATAAATGGTCGGTATTGGTGTCATTTTCAAGTGTTATATATGTTTAATTTTGTTATTGTTGCGTAAGTCTTGTTTTTCATTATATATAATCTTATCGTTAAAAGAAAAAATAGATTGTAGCAAAAACTTGAATGGTTAGTAAAGAAAAAATAAATATTCTTCTATCTTTTCTTCCTGCTTATCCTCCTAATCATATAATATTATAACATTTGGATTAATGGATACCATCAAATCTCTCTTAATATTTTTTCTTGATTTTGACACTTGTATTGATCTAACGAATAAAGAGGTTAAGTAGAAAGAAAATAAAGAGGTTATGTAGAAAGAAAATGTAGAAAGATATTTGATTTCTCGTTGGTAAACTAATAAATCGTTTAAAATAACTATGTTTTTGTACTGACTGAACCAATGACTATTCATAATTCCATAATTGAATCAATTCCATATTGGTTCCTTCCAAATTAGAGGAATGTGTCAAGGCTTGTGGCCAAAATAAGAAATGATGGCTCCTGATCTTTCATCGTGCCAAAAACTCTAGATTTTTAAATTAATCAATTCTTGCAAACTTTATAAATTTTAAGCCTATATAGTGTCTTAATTAGGTACTACTTGTGTTGATTCGTGATTGCTTACTTTGTTCGCTTTGTAGGATAATAAAAATCGTATCACTTGATCGTCACTAAACAATCTACCAATACTTACGTTGGTTTGTGATTGTTTACATATAGGGTTTCGTCTGTTTCGTTACTAGAAAAAATGTTGAAACTAGAGTCCATAATTAACACGAACACAAAAGCTGATAACACAAAATATGAAAACTAAGAACACAAGAAATGAAAGCCAATTCAATTTGTTTCATGTCACAAAACAAAACGACATGTCAACAATATTATTCCTCAACATTTAAAAACATTGTATACGAGCAAATGTCATGACTCATGACGTTAAATACAAATTAAAATAATGTAAATCTTTTCAATGAGTGTCATAAATCCTTATTTCAACATGTATTAGTGAGATCTGTTTCCATATATAACCAAAAGATTAGTCATAAACTCATAATCAAATACCTCAATTCCCAATCACCAAGTAATTTCCTTATGATCCCAATCAAAGAATTTCCCATTATCATGGCTCTTGCTGCTATTGATAATCCCCAACAACCTTTCCACCGAGAATTCTTTACTAAAAAGTTTGTCTTTTGGAACATTCTTTTGAAACGGCTTAGAAAGATCAGTGTCCACAGTTCCAGGATGCAACAGAATGCATATAATCGGATCCTTCTTCCTTGCAAATTCAACAGCTATACATTTCGTCACTGCAGAATCATATATATATTTTAACTCCAGATACAAGGGTAAAACGGTAATTTACTCTCATTCAGTCAACTCCCTTACACTGATTAAGTGCAGATTTGGAAGCTCGATATGAATGCCATCCACCTAATCGGTTGTCTCCTATTGACCCAACCCTGGCGCTTATGTTAGCAACAACAGCAACATCTCTTTGGGTCCCACTTCCACCTCCCGCCTTTAGCAAAGGCCACATATGCTGTTTTTTTTTTCATATTTGGAATATTTAAAATTCTACTACTCAATTCAAAAAAAAAAAAAAGGGGGAAATGTTTATAGTGAATTTGTGAAGTATGTAAGTAGATGGTCATACCTTGGTCACCAAAGTAGGACCCACTGCGTTGACTTCATAAGCAAGCATCAAAGATGATCTCTCTACTTTGGTCAATGTTGTTTCTGTATATAAAATCAAGTATGAATTTGGGATAATAAAGATTTGAAATAAATTTAAATTTTAAACATACCTGGTTGTATAACATCAGGTATTGAAAGAATACCAGATGCATTAACAAGAAGATTTAAGTATCCATGTCTCTCACCTATGTCCCTTGCACATTCCTGAAATAATAAATTAATAATGTCTTGTTAGTTGATTTAATCAGTGTGTAAAACAGATTCAATTTTTTAAAAGGTGAAATGATGTAAGGGAAGATTTGTAAACAAGAAATAAATTTGACTTATTATGTTCTTGTAGTTCAAGATTTCCATGTTGAAAGAAAAGTGACAAGAGGTAACCTCTATTGTGGTTTCAGTGGTAAGATCCAACCTTTGAATATGGAGTCTTTCAGAAAATTTGTTTTTTAACTCAATCAATCCTGCTGCTCCATTGGGGTTTCGACATGTAGCAATCACATGTTCTTGTGAGTTTTTCACTAGTAATTGCTTCACCTGTAAAGCATACATACAAGAAAATCAAAGAAGATAATATTTAGATTAACTCGATTTAAAATAATCACATAGGATAAAGAAAGAAGTAACATTTTGATTTGTATACTTGATGCCTCTAATTATCAAACATCAATATATTAGGATGAATCATGAATGAGTATGATTATGTAAAAGGTTTAGCTTATTAATCACATTTTACCTAGATTTGAAGTGAAATTAATCATCGGATCTTTAGAGGCCAATGTATTTACTTTTTAACAGAGGGAACAATTACATTGCTTGATAACGAAAGAACTCCATAGCTGATAGAAAAGTACATTTAAGTTTAAGTCTAAAATACTTCATCATACAATAAAGTCATGAAGTCATGTTTCTTTGTAAACGCTTATAGGATCCCTGTTGTTATTCGTTATCAATTTATGCGTTATTGTAAAAAAAATGGCAAGAATCCCTTATGAGGTATGAAGCATAACCTGGTAAAAGAATAGCCCTAATGCAAATCATGAAAATTCAATTACAGATGTCAATGGAGTAGGGAGTGTTCGAACTTACGAATTCAAGCCCTAAGCCTCTTGAAGCTCCTTGCACCAGGGAAACACCATGTTCGCGTTTCGATGTAAAAGTAGAAAAAGAAGATGCTCTTAATTTGATCATAGATGTAAGGTTAGCTGTTGAGAATAGACATCGGTTGAGAAGATGAAGCTTCATTTTGGAATTGAACTCACACAGAGAAGATGTTAGGTTGCAGAGGTGAAGAAGAGAAGCAATTCGCATGGCGT